AAGTAAATCTGTCAACTGTTGGTTGTTTTTCTATTATACCCTCAAAAATTGACGGCCATATTGAAAATGCTTAAAGTCTCGGAAGAAGAAACCAAGCTAACTTAACTTTTCTAGCCCTAAATGATGCATTTCTGTAGTGAATGTTTACAGGAAAGATCACTGCAGGGTTCGACTATTTGGCATATAGGAGTGAGTGGATATTCGTCATCTGGTATTGTGCAATATCACACAGTGACGTCATCATGATGTTATCATTGCTGTAATAGATGTGCACACTAATTGTATGTTTCTCAAATTTATTCATATTATCATAATAACCACTGGTAGTGCTCATTTACGTGAATTCTGAATGTACCTAAAATGCTGAATCAGCATATTTAAGGCTGGTGATAGGGTTAAATACGCTTAGATCATGTTTTTGAGTTTTTTGTGTGTTTATATTACTCAAAAAAGTATCTAACGTTGGATGTAATAATTTTTATGAACTTGCATCGCAAAATGTGTCTTTTGATGAGTTTTTCAACCGGCATGCGCCCCAGTCAGGCTGCAACTAAGCCACGCCTCTGTTACTAAGGGTCGTTGCCATGAGGGGGTCTGAGCACAGTTAATGAGTTATAAGCTGATTACGTGTGCGGTAATAGGTCATAAGTCTTACATCAGCTTAGCAGCGAAGAAGTCTAGCTAGTACACTATGGGGAAGAGAAAAGTTCGTGTTAAAAGTCCATTTCCAGAGGAAAGAAAGAAAATTTTGAAAGAGAGTAGGGCCTATGCGTGGCGGTGGGGGAAAACCGGCCCTATTTGTTCAGTCGGATAACTGATTTCTGTATACCTAATAAATGGGTGAAAGAGTTAATTGAATCGCCTAAATTAATTGACAAATGAAAGAAAAATCGATAAATAAATTTAAAAAAAAAACGCTAAAAAGGATACTTTTAGCCTAGCTCTTAATTTTTGCAATATATATCGGCGAGCGTATGTGCAACACGTTACGAAACCGGAAATGATTGTTGGTCGCCGTTTGCTAAAGGTAAATCTAATGTTGACAAAATAAAATTTGTTGACAAAATTGTTGACAAAATTGTTGACAAAATTGTGATGTGAATGGCCAAACGAGAGAAATCCAAGCAAGGGTTGACAGCATGATTAAAACAATAAAAATAAAAACGCATGTTAGCGGCTTTGCATTTTGCGATGTTTGGAGAAAAACAATTTCAAAATCACTGATCAAGCGGGAAGAAAGAGTTCAAAATGTATCCAAAAATGAAAATCACAAAAAGACCCCGAAAATAGACTAGCAGGTAAAAAGAAAATAGGGTCTAAGTGTCATGTGTGTAAAAATAAAATATTTATTCAAAAGCCTTCTCTCAGCCACTTTTACCGCTGAATCTTGTGCAACTGAGCGTCTCCCCTTTATCTTAGCTGGCATTTTGAGAGAGACCGCTCTGAAGTAATCACTGGATTTTTCCGATGATCTGACGATTACCAAGTGCCGTGCAAAATAATCCTGCAGCATTACCCGTCAAAAAACTCTTATTAACACAAGTGACGGCCACTTGCTCTCGACAGACAGTTATATCTGATCACTTTGCCGATAACAGAAAAGGAATCCCTCAGGTAAAAGTACTCGTTTGCCGAGGAAAAGCCACTGAAACGTTCAAATGCAACTTCACACCTCTTAATTGCGGTTAAACGTAATCGCCTTTGTTAGCGCTTCCTTCTACATATCCTTGACACCCTACTGGGCATCACTAGGCTAGGGCCCTCTCCAGAGCTGTCAATCAAAATGGCGGCACGCTTACAAGCCTAACGAGTGGTCGGAAAATTTAACAAAAGCACGATTTTCTGCCCTTTCAAAGCACCCAAACAAAATATTTTTAGATGACAATGAACAATGGTTCCACCTGATCGTATAACCGATAACAGGTAAATTTGCCAGCTAAGCATTTGACTAATAAGCCCTGTTAACCAACCTGTGAACGTTTTTGGCTGTTTTAACAGCTTTCTATATTGACGAGATAAGTGAATCGCTGCCAAGTATATCTCACTATCTGAGCAACCTATCGTTACAAAAGTTGCACCTATTGTTGTTAGGAATGTGGACTACAGCATGATATCAGGGGTTTAAGAGGAAATTGTTTGTTTGAAAGTTATCGCCTTTTGAAGTGAATAACCCATTGAAATATGGGCTGATTTAACGTAAAAGATGATAAAATCAAAAGTAAATCGTTTAAGACAATTCCCTGGTACCCCGCTGTAGTGCTTTCACCCAGCTTTATGAGGCCTTTTGAATCACTTGAATAGCTGTCTTGGTTATAGAGAAAATCCCAATACCGAAAACGGCATTTTTCCCCTCAAATTGGCGCCAGAGCGTCATCCGTTGGACACTGTACTTAATCCCCGTCTTTAACTGGCCTTTTGGGAAGTTTGTTTTAATTTTTAATAAAAACTTATAAGCCCAGGGCTTTGTTTCTATGACTTTGGCCCTTTTACTTTTACTATCAGTCACCTTAAGAAAGCCGCTCATCTGGGTACTTTGTGAATTTTGGAGTTGCCCCCCGATTGAATAGACGAACACCCAATGGTCATTCATCGTGGAAAGTTTCATGCTTTTATCAACTTTGCACAATTTTTTGGCTTAGCCGCCTAACTATTCATTATTGCATACCACTGTAAGTGTTTTCAAAATTTCAATCTTTCACTCTCTAATGCTGCTTACCTTATATTTAGTCATGACATACAAGTGTTCCCCTGTGCTGTCTAACTTGATGTCCTTTACCTGATCATTAGACACCTGAACTGAGGCATACTCTACTGCTGATGTGTTAGACTGGACATGTATCTGGAAACACACGCATATGATTTAAGGCATAAATTGTACATCTCTAATGACAATCGACTTTTTGTTGACTTGCATTTAACAAATTTAGTAATTATGTTGACCCAACACATAAAATTAATAAAATTTGTCTTTTTTTCACATTTCACTGAGTAAGCTTACTATAGCAAGAAAAAACTAATTTGTTAAAATCTTTAATGGTTGGATAGGTGAAATTATATTAAACTTTGAAATCTTACCTATCAACACTTGCCAGAATTATATCAGAAGGAAATGTTAATATCCTTAATTAGGGGAGAGATCATAGTAACACAAACATAAAACAATCAAATAAAATATCCTAAAATGGGGTAATACCTTTTTAAGCTGTCCATCAGCAGTCCCCACAAAAGCCACAGTGTAAATGGTAGTGGTGGAAGTTGTGACTGATGTCCATGTTGATGAAGTTACTGTCAGTGCAGGAGTTGTTGTTGCTGGAGTGGTTGACACAAGTGGTGTGTTTACACCTCCATAGTCATGATAACAGTAATTAGAACCATAGTTGTAACTCTGAAATGATGATGCAAATTATCATTCAGACGAACACACACACAGGCAGTAAGACACCCTTAATATATTCAAGAATACATTCAACTTTTTCAAATTTTACAAATTCCTTCAACATACATTGCAATAAGTGTGTTAAATACATTCAACTTTTTCAAATTTTACAAATTCCTTCAACATACATTGCAACAAGTGTGTTATGCCGTAAGTCTCACTAGGAAATGTACACAAAAATTATATAACATGTCAAGATACATTGCCAAAAAATCGCTTACTGGAAATAATGTGCAGTGGGCTGATCCCCTCTGAAACTGTGCAGCCTCTGTGTTTCCATTCCCAGCATAACACTGCTCATACTTCTCTTTTATCACACTGTTTATCCTTTCCAAAGAAAACACACAGACAGCAGTAGTTGATCCCTCCATGAATGTTCCCACTAATATGTTCTCATCCCCTAACTTTGTTACTGATAATGAATTGGCTAGATTATAATTTACACTAGGGTCGTTTCCTTTACAGTGTAAAGGCATTTCAAAATAAGAATAATAGTTTGCATCATTCTGACATACTCGTATTATTCTTGTTTCATACTCTGTACTACTGAGTGTTGTCTTCTGATTTGTGACAAAGTAGCTATATCCATTTAGTGAAAAACCTGTAACATAGTTCACCAGAAATGTGCTTCGTACAGTATCAGTATCAGACAAAGTAATATATGTTCCAGTGCCACTCAGAGCAATGTAGTTTGTTAGTTCTAATGTCTGTAAAGACCTACTGCTAACTGCAGCAACTTGCTCTCTCCCTCTCTCCCTCTCTCCCTGACCGGTATATGTTGATGCCACATACAGCACATCTTGTGAATTTAGTCCTGGAGCTACAAAGGCAACTGTAGATGCATCACGTGAGTTAGCTGCTACATAATTTTCAATAGGATCACTCCCTCTATGTGGTGTCACCTGTGTAATATCTGTAACAGAATGGCTCTCACATGTCCCCTGATATACACTTCCACAACTAATAAGCTTACCCCTACTCTGGTCTACAACAAGAATCTTATTGTAGTTGTCTGTTACAGTTGTAGGAGTTCCCTGTGAACAAGTTGGAGGTGGCGGACTACAGTAGGGACTATCTATGACAGGTCCAGTCGTAACATTCTGCAACAGTTGTAAATCTCCATTCAACCTATACAGTGCGTTCACTGCCCCTATGTACACAGTGCCAGTAGCATTATCTATTGCTATGTTGTTGAATTCAACAGTTGTTTGGCCACTTGGGTATGAACTGACAATGGTACTGCCGGTGACAGTCACAGCATGTGACAACAACACTGCCAATGTCACCAATATGCTGGTTATTGCGAAGGTACTTTGGCATCCAGAAAACATTTTGGCAATCATTTCTGGTAATCCTATTGATAATTTCATTAATTCTCATCACAGTTATTCTTCTTTTGATGGTCCATAGAAAGAATCCACAAAAGTACAGAATTAAATCCTAGTAGAATATGAACAGTGCCCTTGAAATATCCTTAGAATGAGATCCATTCATTTTTTGTGAACTTAAAAACCAATCAGCAGCTAGATAATACTTTCTGAATTTGATGTCCTCTTCTTTTTTGTTGGACTAATGTTTCTTGACCCTTAAGAACAAGTAATGGAACTTTTTATAAATCCCTCTTTATCACAGCTGTCATCAAGTCTCCACAAATCCCTGCCTTGATATCTGAATATATTCTCCTTTTCTGCTACTCTAATCTAGAGATCATCAGAATCATTGTAGATTTTAAAATAAGAAATCTCAGGAAGGCCTCTCTCCAATGCTGCCCATTCCAGTGCAATCTTTAAACCATTTTAGAAAAGTTCTCCCTCTCTGTTCAGGCAGACCACTGTGGGACCTTCACATCTCTTGTGCATTGAACTTTCCGAGATCTCGCATCTATCATCTCTGCTTCTCTTCCACTTAGCTTTGATGTCTGTAAAGATAGAAACAATATAACATTAGCTATGTCAAAAAAAGATGCATGCATATCTCTGTTTTTACAAGTCATCGTATCTAATTAAATCTTCGAAAGGTTAGGTCGTGCCCTATCTTTTTTATGCACCCTGAAAAAATTCAGATAAGCCCGTGTTAAGTGAAGCCTGCTGTTACAAAAAGGGTACGAAATAGCCTACCCCTCAAAGAATGGAGCGAGGCATACGCCAAAGCCATATTCAATCAATGTGATATGTGCAGCTATATTTAAGTCAGAGCCCTCATTCTCCACATAGCCTGTCAACTCAAACTGTGAGGCAGGTTTTTAAGTCTCACCTGCATGTAAAATAAATTGCGCCCCTGGATAAAATATCAAATTATATGTCTTAATATCAGATTAAGTATATATGCATAAATGTAAGGGGAAATTGGAATCCCTGATGAGATCCATGCTGGGATGCCTGTGTAGCAAATGTGACCAGAACACCTGCAAGACAGGAAAGCACCTTTTAAGATTTTCTTAAGATTGGAGGTATTTCCACTAAACCAGTCACAATACATAACAACAAATGTTTATCAGTATTTCAATGTGAATCAAAGTTGTATAATTTAAGTGTTGAAAAAACTGTATGGATTAGATAATATATATGTAAGGTATGTTTATTTTGATGAGAGAGAGAGAGAGAGAGAGAGAGAGAGAGAGAGATGTTCTGTTCGTAACGTCATGTCCTTATGTTTCCTTCAATGCTTATTGTCAGAAAGAAAAATAATATAAAAACTTTTTGTATCAAATTGTACAGTTATCATCACTTGATATTAATAACACTGTTCAAGCGATATTTTTGTATTCGTCACAATGATAAGTTCTTGTGGATACGTTGTCATATTTCTGAAACACAACATCTGCTCTGCCTGATATTACTGTAACAGCAATCATAAGACTTTCAAGGATTCTCCAAGAAAGGCATTATAGGCAACAAAAGCATTACCAGTATTATATCATATTAAAAATAGCTTAGATATTTCCCAGATGAAGGACATTTAACAAGTTGCTCAAGTCCATCTTCCCATTAGCTTTCTCTAGAGAATGGTTCTGAGGCGTTTCCAGAGATCTCCCAACTACTACCCTGAACATATTGTATCCAGATAGTTCACTGTATCTTTTATTTTGGTACTTAAAAATAACTGAAATTTCTAGTCAAAGGAAAAAACATTACCACATCAGCTTAGAATGATTAAATATGATATCACATTATCTCTTTTTTTTTTTACAGAAAAAAATTACCATGAGAGAAACAATTTAACATACAAGCTTCAGGCCATTGGTGTATTTGGAAGCTTTATCAGCTGATCTGCGTCAGAAATTCTTTCTAAAAGTCACAACTAAAACAGCACCTAGGGACACGTGGTGCGGTTAATTGAGCGACAAATCAAATCACGGGAAGGTTAATAAGAAAATGGATGGTTTTTCTCCAATGTTTTTCCATCTTCACCAGAAGGTCAAGCGTGGCATGGGAGCCAACAAATGTCCTGACGTGTCTCAAAATTTGATCAAAAAAGTTCACGCCAACAGTAATTCAAAGTCAAGCCAAGACAAACCGAGGTGATCTGACACTAACAGCTGTATATGGCGAAAGTTGAAGCCAATGTTCATTTCAACATGAATACAAGAAATATGAGGTTAAAATTTACATCGTTACCTGTTTAAAGTTATACGAGCAATCCTGAGACATCAAAGAGAGCCAAATTATTTAGACCTAAGCCCAACTATCTGATTTAAAAGTTACTAAAATTACTTCTCTAATCCCAAGGCCATTAAAAGAATGCCAAGAAGGTAGAACCAAACATAGGAAAGATGAACCATATTTTAATTTCAGACAACAAGTATACCTTACCTTAAGTTTAACACCACTTCAAATCCACAGTAAGAGGCCATAAGTTGATAAAATCAGGAAACCCCAAAATAAGAGATCTAACACTTGACTTCCAGTGAGCCAAAGTTCCTTCATGCAGAGTCAACCCAATCAAGACAGCTGACGACCAGAAAGATGAACCATCCATTCATTTTTTATGAATGTGCTAATCAAATTCCTAACAACTTAACTGAAAGGTAATATCTGCCCCCAACACCTGCAACCGTGGTTTTGACATATGCTACAGAAATCTTCATGCCAGTGTGTTTTATTGAGTTAGATGATATCATCAGCTTACCTACCAGGTGTAATGATATCAGTTCTGACTAGAACTGTGGTACACTAATCTGTGCACATTGCTTAGTAATGATGTCACATTTTACTGAATGAATGAAGTGATGAATGGATGGAATGATAATAAATAAATAAATAAATAAATAAATAAATAAATAAATAAATAAATAAATAAATAAATAAATAAAACAGATGGGTGGATGGACAGACACAGGTGGATGTAAAAATCGAATGAAGTGTTTTAATCTCTTAATTTACTTACAATTTAGTCTGGTAATACTATTCAATGAAACACGACTGGAAAATTAATTTACACAAACATCAAAATAAACACACAAAAAAACTTACAAACGAAGGAGATAAAGAAGCAATGAAAACACATGAAAAAATTGAAGCATTTCTGAGCCATGTGACAATGGCTCTATCTAATGGAAGGTTAACAAGATGACAAAAGCTTGAACATTAATGGATGGATGGGCATCCAAATGACCCGACTGATGGGCTATCATGACACCGAATTCCTCATGTGACCTTTGGTAATTTCACAATTGACCACTTCCATTGTGACACCTCTATTGTACAATACTGTCACCTTTCAATGCATTTATGAGACCATTCGAATAGAAATTTTGCAAATGGAGCTTTCCTAATCATCAAGTCAATCAAGTGTACCATACCTGGCAATGAACTCTGCTTTCCCTGCCATTGTGGATAAAATGTCAAAGATATCACATTAATTTCAGATACTTCATCAGTTTCACAGATGACCGGACCAAGTGGCCAATATTAAGGCTGTATTCCCAGAGCTTTTAGATCGATCTATCCCCACGGGGAATCTCACTAGATTACTGTCAGATAATCCGGCTTAAATGTCCGTCCCGCCTACTACAAGCTGTAAGGGGGTAATTAACTTTCGTGTCCGCTCGGCTGACAGCTATTTAGCGTAAACCCCCAGGGACTTAGGTCGATCTAAAGTAGATCGATCTAATCTCTGGAAATGGGGTCTAAGTCTGCCCTCCTGTCATTTTACCTCAACAAATGACACTGTCTTTATCGGCACCTCAGATGATAACTCAATAATAAGTTCAATGCATACATTTTGTCTGCTTTGATGAAACATAAGCACTTTTCTCATTCTAGAGGCAAATACATTCTGGTAATTGGAGTTGGTTAAACCTTTTAACTAAAGAAACCACAGGTGTTTTGATGGGATACACTCTCCTGTGACAGGTTGGATAATTGAGTGGCTTGTTTACTTACATTCACTGTCAATTTTACTTCTTGTAACCAGAGCAGGTAATACATGATTCACAAAAGAACAACAGAAGACACTTTTTAATGATGAAATACTAGTGCTATTCTAAGCCATTTAGGCAAATTTGAATATTTACACACATTTGCTACTTAAGTTAATCAAAGTTCATTATCAGTGTTAACCCTCTCAACTGTATAGACTGACTACTTTGATGTAACATAAGCACACTTTTCATTTTTACAAAATTGTTAGAGATAGTGTAGCAAAGAAACTATTTATTTTTGGTGGTTTCTCTCAATGCTGCCAGGCAAGAGAGGAAGAATCAGAGGGTTAGAACAAACTGTCCCACTGGCTGCAGAAAAGGTCCTCTCAGAACCAAAGTTCCCCCCTCCCCTCCAAACTTCCTTTGAAATTTCTAACTACACACATGAATCATACAAACATTAGTTTGAATCTTGGTTCCAGTATAGAAAACAGAAGACATTTAACTAAAATTTGAAGCAATTAGCATGAATGGATGTAGATAAATCAACTTTTAAGGGACGGCCACCTACCTCTTAAAAACCACACATTACTGACACTTAAAGTAGCTGTATGAACCCTCGTCTGTCATCTTCCTGTTTCTCACACAATATATACATGTGCAGCCACTCACATCACATCATATCCAGGGTAAAAGATACCCAGTGAATAGTGCCACAAATACCTACACAGCTGAAAGACAACGTGAACAATCACAGCACCTACCCCAGCACAGAATGAATCTCTTGCTTGACACCTTCATGTCACATCCCTATATTTTTAACCTGAAGAACTATGAAGACTGTGCTTCACATCAGTGTGTCCACTTGAGCATACAAATTTGTTTCTATCACAGAAAGTAAAAAAAGGAAAATAGAAACAAGAATAGAGCAGCACCTGCTTTGTAAGAAGACAAGGTACAATGGTTTCAATGGTATTTTTTTTCTTTTTAACCCAAAGAGTAAAGAACAAGTCCCCCTTTAAGAGAATAGAATCATGCAGTCACCTCAGCAAGAACTTATGGACAGGATGTTTGTAACATTCAAACACAATACACTTACGGAAACTTGCCAGACTGATACAAGAATATCCTCTTCCTGCTTTTCTTCTGTCCCCAACAACAGCATGTACACCTTCTAAACTCACCAGCCAAAGTAGACAAGAGTCAAGAAATCACAGCAAAGAAGAATGCTTCTTTTCTTGTGATATAAACAGCAGGTAAGTTAATCCAATGAGATCAAATCAGGGGGTTAAGAGCAACAGCGTGGAAAGACACAGTACACCAAAAACCACATCACAGACACCAAACCAGATGTTAAACCACCAGATTTAATGACTGACACCTCTTTGACAGAACTCTATAACTTAACCCCATGTTTGAGACTGCAACAACTCCCACAAATATCATGGCTCAGCAGAGCACAATCACAGAAAGCCATCACCTGCTTTTTAGTAACTGGCTGTTGTATTGAGATGCAGTAACCTGGGTTTCATCCACAGACCACAGTCTAACCACAC